CTAAACCAACTTCAAGTTGTACAAAGAGACGCTTTGCCAGAACCGATGTTTTCCTCTGGTACAGTGCACTCTACTCTGCGCTCTGTTTCTGCATGGGTCTGTAACCTTTCTGTGTTCTAACCTCTCTCCATTTTTCAAAAGCATCTCCAATATTGATCCTAGTTTGAGCACGTTTCTGCTCGTGGAGCTTATTAGAAACATGCAGAGGCTTTTTAGGTCGGGTACAATCACTTCTATCTGAACCACTTCTCTGTTTGGCTGCTGCATTGTTGTCAGAGAAGCCAGCACTTCAACATAGCATGTTTCCTTAATGATCAGATAGTAAGATACCTTTATCATCTCACTCTCTACACAGCTCACTGATTGGACCTTTAAGGATCTGATTTCTTTCTCTCACATTAGCCGTTGCATATTTTCTGTTCTCTGTTGTTTTAGTTCCTAACAGTTTCACACATGCCAACAACATATGTTAAAAAAAATAATCATGCTTTTTGATCCTGTGTGGATTAGTGTTGTACCCTCAATCATGCAGCTTTGAGTGAATCTTCAAATCCCATGTTTTATTTACCGTAGCCACCAAGCCTGAATGGCACTCATAATCAGACTGCAACAATACCAATAAAAGCGTTTGAATGAAATCAGTGCATCAAACAGGCGCAGGAAGACCACCATGGTGTGTTCTGTTAGTCATGCTGAGCAGAGCAGAGCCTTGTTATTTCTGGCTTTTGTCAGGTGGAACCATGGACTGTATGAGAAGTTGATGCAGTTCTGAGAAATTAAGCCACAACATTGTTTTAATTATTAATTAGTTCAATATAATTAAAAGTGCAAACTCCCTAATGTCCAGCAGGGGGCGATTTATGTGGTTGTTCCTTTTTGTGTGTTTATAACGCCTTTCTTACAATCGTAACAATTTGCATCCAAATTAATATCTAATAATAATTAAGAATGCTTTGCAAGCTGGAAATATAGGATTTGCTCGCCGCTCTTCAGGATACAGGATACACTGCAGGGCTGCCAGGGGAGGGCTGCTCTCCAGGTTTGGGAGAAGAGAGTCTCTGTGAGAGGTTTCAGAGGCTTGAAGCCGTCTGCTGAAATTCTTGGTTTGATATCGGGGAACTATGGCGTGATTAGCTGAAAAAGCCGTGTAGCGCCCTCTGCAGACTCATCCTGGGATTACTCTGACATATGTTTACCTCCTGATCTGAAACTTTGCCCACATTTAGATTGGACATCGTAACACAGAGTTTGAAATGGAGATCAGCAGAAGAGGTCGACTGTGGCGGAGGAAAGCATACGTGGCGTTCCACAAGGCTTTGTACTTAGTCCTCCACTTTTCTCTTTTTAGCATCTTAGCCTCATTTTAAAGAAATATGGCAAAAATATCACATTGTTTTACTGATGACACTATAATGTATGTCTCTGCTGCAGCCACTGTCCCTCCAGTGTGAGAGAATGCATGTTGGAAACAGGACGTCTTACTTTGTAGATTTAATCTTACTGACCCTTGAGATTTGAACCACAAAGTTTTCAATAACGCTGTAATATAAAGGGTATTGTTTTTATTAAATAGTGGATTTCTTTAAATTACATATAACAAAATGCTTGAATATAATGCATCATGCTGTAATTAGGCTCGAGCCCTCCCTCCCCCTGACATAAATGACCTCAATCGAACTCTTAGATTTAATTTGTTGTAACACTTTATTTTGGTAAGTCTGCTCAGCTGACTGTCATCAGAGGACGTTTCCTCCGCTGTCTGATTGAATTTACATTTCTGACCATTAACTGATTCGATTTGGCAAACAGAATCATTTTGGAAGCTTCAGTGTAAACCTAACGTCCTTACACTCCAGTTTGTTTTTAGCCTAGCTTAGAATTAAGACAGGAAGTATGGGCAAACAAGTACTTTGACCACATGCTAATGATCAAGGATGACTCACGTCAGAGCATGCTAATGATTCACAGACGGTTATATTTCTAGCTCCGCCCACCAGAACTGAAGAAGCCTTTCAGAGGAGGAGCGGTGAAACCTTTGCCTTTGGATCAAGCATCGAGTCTGCCATGACCTCGATGACTGAGAACCTTCACAGACAACTGTGATGACCTCCTCTAGACTTTAAGTTAAGGTCAAAGTCTGGGTGAATGATTCAAATGAAATGTGGATTATTTCAAGTGTTAGAACTTCTTTTTGTCTGGATGTCATTCACCTGCCATCTGATGGACAGTCAGCTGATTGTTGCCGGTTTACCTCATCATCAACTGCACAAAATAAAGTGTTACTCTGTTATAACAGGCGTTAGGATTAGTAGAGACATTAATTGATTGGAATGATTAATTAGGTTTAGACGGCGTTTCACATGCTCGAAAAAAATCCAGCATACCTGTCAATATCCCTGTTGGAGGCAGACACATACAAGGAAGTATTAATCAACATGATGCAGTGTTAGTGTCACAGTCTGAGTCACAGCTAATCCTTATTACTCATTTAAATGTGAAAATTTAAATGTACAAACATGTTAATGTTAAAAATGTTATGACATTTAAATAACGGCCGTTCATCACAGCGTTTTTGGTTTGTTTATAGTTTGAAGAGAAATACTTTCTCAGACCAGCAGGGGGCAGCAGAGAGAGAGGACGATGTTAGTGAGAGAGAGCTGATTGTCTACCTTTCACTGTACCTGTTGAGGGACGCCAGCAGAGATCTGATGGCTTTACCGTCCGGATCCATCACTTCCTGCAGGAGAGTGATGTCACAGCGAGACACAATCTACACACACACACACACACACACACACACACACACACGTCTAAATTGCTGTATCACAACTATAAACAAGGAACTTTCCGGAGTCAGTCTTTCTATCGAAGCTAGCTTAGCATTAGCCCTGTTTATTATTCCCAAACTATAATCACCAAAACAAGTGAGTGCATGAAGAGTGTGTCTGAGAGGATACAACTCGTACATACAATCAAAAGTTTGTAACATGAACATTTTACAGTCTAACTCGTATCTTTTCCTGGAGGAGCTGTGAAATGATGCAGATTAAACTGTCCATCGTTAAAGAAGCGTTGATATTCAGAATGATGAAACATGAGGAGAGACACTGACCCGCGTCAGAGTGTGCATCAGTCTGGAGTCAGACGCCTTCTCCGAGTTGAATCTCTGCAGAGTGTACGCACAGATCCTGAACTCTGATCTTTTAGCTCTGCAGACGAGGAGGAAGGAGACGAGGAGGAGGAGGAGGGGAAGAGAGCGCCACCTCATGGTTACACTGTGGAGAAAACAAAAAAACACTTAATGTTGAGACAGATGATGATTAACTTCTTCAAATCAAACATTTATCCTAAACTGCGAGTTAACTGTATCCTAAATATTCCACTTTTATTTTTCTCTCTTAAGCCCCGTTCAGACCGCCGTTTCAAGTCGCTGTGGTGTTTATCATTCAGTCTGAATGTCTGGCGTTACAGAGGAGAGACAGGATCAGCTGAGCCAGCGGGGGAGAACAGCGCTGTTTGTGTGTGTGTGGTGCTTCTACAGCGGCTAAACACACCATGACGTCACAGACTGGGACGCCAATATCACGCCATCGTGGAATCATTATGAACGTACAAAGATGAGATGACAGCTGAGCTGAGTCTGAAAGGTTCTGTAAGTGAAACCTTCAGGTGGTGTAGAGGTCAAAGGTCAAAGGTGAAACCAGCAGCAGGTAATGCTGCATTCCCGATGTGTCAGTGAGTAAACGCCTGCTGCGCCAAGTCATGGATGAGCTGCATCGTGTCGTTATTTGAATGTTTCCAGAATGTGAGGGTGGAAAGGTTTACCCAGCAGAGTGTGGACACAGTGAGTCACTGATCCATGAAACTACAGACTGCTGAACTGTAAACAAGTTAAAAACACAGAGGAACAAAGTGCAAGGGAACGACGAGCCTGCAGTCATTAACTGAGGGAATATTTAACTCAGGGGAGGAGACGCCGCGGGGGAAAGAGGAAAGATGGCCGCCGTTTGAAATTTAAAGAGAGAGAGACAGAGAGAGAGAGAGAGAGAGAGAGAGAGTGGTTAAACTGGTCTGAAGTTGGAGTGTGAACGTGTTCAGACATGAAGCAGAATCTCAGTTTTCATCTTTTACTGAAGAATCAGCAGCTGTCAACAAAAGATTCATTCAAACAAACTGCAGGAATCTCGGTGTTAAAAACTCTGACTTTGTTCTTCTCAGATTCATCTGTAAAATCAAACATCTTAATGTGTCAGTGACGTTCACCTGATCCTGGCTTTTCATTGGTCCCTCTATACGGGGAGATCTCAGGCGTCCCTTCACCGCCTTCAGTCAGAAGAAAGCGCGTTGCATTGGCTTTCTGTGAATGACTTTTAGCCTGGACGCCCTGTGTGTCTGCACGCCACCTCTATGATGTCCGTGCTCTAATGAAGCAGCTGCATTCTGTTTCCTGTTTTCTCAGCTGTATGTATTAGGAGCGGGTTAGAATCCTCCAGCTGAGAGGAACTTTAACAGGAGGTCAGATTATTAAGACAGCGTCAGTCTGCTCCATCGGTCCAGCAGTGAGTCAGGATGGGGTGTCTGAGGCTCCGGGGCCGCTCCCCGGCCTGCAGGTGGTCAGACCAGTCGAGTCACTTCTGCTCTTCAACGCCCCGTCAGCACACTCAAGTCCTCAGTTTAAAATAAAACACCAAACTATGAGAGGAAGTCTGCAGCTGTGGACGTCCTAACTGAAATAATCCTGAACAGGAGCCCCCCCTGACCCCCCTGACCCCCCCAATCACCTGGACCCACAGCAGCTCTTTGATCAAATACAGGACTAAACATGTCGCTCACATGTTCATAAAATACAGACTTCTCCTTCAAAATAACTTGTCTGATGTGGATTTGGAGAAACAGTGCGCTGCGTTTTGGAGTCGTGCAGAAGCTGTTTTGAACGAGGTTTAGGGTTCGCAGGGAGCTGGAGCTGATCCCAGCTGTCATTGGACGAGAGGCGGGGTTACACCTTGGACTGTTCACCAGCCAATCACAGAGCTGACATTTAGAGACAGACAACCAGACACACTCACATTCACACCTACAGACAATTTAGCAGTTAACCTAACGAGCATGTCTTTGGACTGTGGGAGGAAGACGGAGAACCAGGAGAGAACCCACACATGGAGAACATGCAAACTCCACACAGAGAGACTCCTGAAGGACGGGATTCAAACCAGGAACCTCCTCACAGAGAGACTCCTGACAGACGGGGATTCAAACCAGGAACCTCCTCACAGAGAGACTCCTGAAGGACGGGGATTCAAACCAGGAACCTCCTCACAGAGAGACTCCTGAAGGACGGGGATTCAAACCAGGAACCTCCTCACAGAGAGACTCCTGACAGACGGGGATTCAAACCAGGAACCTCCACACAGAGAGACTCCTGACAGACGGGGATTCAAACCAGGAACCTCCTCACAGAGAGACTCCTGACAGACGGGGATTCAAACCAGGAACCTCCTCACAGAGAGACTCCTGAAGAACGGGGATTCAAACCAGGAACCTCCTCACAGAGAGACTCCTGAAGGACGGGGATTCAAACCAGGAACCTCCTCACAGAGAGACTCCTGAAGGACGGGGATTCAAACCAGGAACCTCCTCACAGAGAGACTCCTGAAGAACGGGGATTCAAACCAGGAACCTCCTCACTAACCACTGCAGCACCGTGCAGCCCTAAATTGATCCATAGCATGAAGCTTTAAAAAGTCTGCATTGATTTAAACGACAGGTGTGTTGGAGAGAAAGAGTCCTTCAAAATAAAACTAGAAAAACACATTGTCAACATTTCAGCAGCAAAATGTTAACAATGTTTTCTAATTTAGACATCGTGCCAGAGCTTTTTCTCAACATTTAATCATTGAAGAAATTAATATTTGACGTCTCGGACTTCATATTTTGTTGCTGTGGTTTCAAACAGATTTATCAACATCTTTAAATATTTACTCAGATCATAACAAAGTTTAGAAATCTGAATTTCAGTCTTCACCAAAGTCACTGGAGACACATTAATCTTCAACCCTGGATGACTCCAAACATTATGATGCACAAGCCTTAAAGCTGATTTGACTTATTAACACATGAAGACGATGACTGAAGTCTGGAATCTAAAAGTCCCTGAAGATAAAAACAGAACCATGAATCACAGGAGTTTCTACTCTCAGGTGACGAGACCTGCTCACAACACCTGAGAGTGAGTTACTCTAAACACACACACACACACTCCCCTCTCAGCTCTCTTAAAGCTCATACATACACACACACTGAGCACACCCAGCAGCTGTTACTGGTCTAGTCCCAGTACAGAGTGCTGGTGCTACTGGTTTTCTTACCTGTTCAGGTGAGCGGAGGGTCGACTGTTTGTCTCTGCTGCTGCTCAAACTCTGCTGAGCTTCCTGATGCCGCTGCAGGGTGGAGGCTGTTACCTGCTGATGTCATCTTAACACCTTCCTGGTTGTTAGGTTGGCCACGCCCCTCTACTACTGCTGCGTTCAAGGCTCTGGGAAAAGATAGGATGTTTGTACTTCACAGCACAGGTCCCACTAGCTGCCTGTCAAGTGAGAAAACACAACTGGAGAGAAGTCTGAATTATTGATCGGACATTTCTGTCATCATTTAAAATGATATGATATTTGTTTTACATCATGTGATCTTTTCTGTTGAAATAGACGAACAGGAAGAACAGTGTTGCTCAATATTTTCTCAGGGTCATTAAACGCCCTGATTTCATCATCATGATCCCAACAACTTTTCCTGAAGCAACTTGTCATGGCATTGCAGAAATAATAACTTGTAAACAGATTTTAGGAACAGGGAGGTTTCGTTTTACGATGAATCTTTAAAAATAAAAAATGTAAATACTGATCATGTTTGTATAAAAGAGAGAATGTCGTGTTTTCAACAACTTTTAAATGTTTCTGAGTTTCTCCAAAGTTACTTAATGTGGCTTAAACAACAAACGTAGATCAGGTCGTTACATTAACCTCCACTCTCATGAGAAACATTAAAACACAGCTTTCATGATCCTTCTTATTAAATTAATAAATACATTATTTAAGTTAATTATCCATCAGTTTAATTATTGTTTGTCCAGCTGACTATTTGAATTTAGAATAGAATAGATGTTTATTGCCATTTGCACAGGTACAGTACAGGTACATTGGAATTCTTGTACGTTTCTCCCTGAGTCAGCTTCTACAAAAAAAGTTAAAATGATATATAAAATAGAAAAGCATTATAAGAAAAAAAGAGAAGAAAAGTACAAATAAAGTAAAAGTAAAAATAAAAAGTTGTAGTAACAGCTAAGTGATTTAAAATAAACTGTACAGAAGTTATACCCTGAAAGATATAATACAAAAAAAGAACAAAGGGGAACACTGAACAAGGAAATGAAAACATAAATAAGTTTTCTTATTGCACACATATTTTTCACATGATATAATTACACTGGTTTAATATTGCACACTTGTATTGCACTGTGAGGTGTGGGGTGAACTACTTCCTTCCCATCTTAATGTCCTTTCATTTAAAACTGATGTGGATTTCCTTGTTGTTGACATGTTTGATGATGAAGAAATTCTCCGTTGACACTGACTTGCTTACATAATGATCATTTTATTGACAAACAAGTTACAGCATCGCCAGGCTCGCCATGGTTCGACCTGGGAGAGACACAGCCAAAAGTGATCTCTCCCCTTACACACAGAAACTCTGGTATTTATGGACACACCTCACAGGAGAACAACATAGGGACATCTGTTTGTTTTCAGGACACCCCTCTTCATACAACTGCAGGGGTTTCTGTCTTAGTCATATGTATGTCATATGTATGTCATAAACTCAAAGGACAACACAGGTCACAGATACAATCTCTTGTCCAGAAGTCCCTGGGCAACTCTCTGGATACAGGGGCCCCATTGTACACATTCCACTGAGAGGGCTCCTAAATCCCTTCAGATACTCCTGATGCGCCCATTGTAAACTTATATTACCTCTGTCCTGTTACATCAGACACTTCATAGTCCCCCCTAGCGAGACTATAGTCTCGCAAACAAGAAATTATACAATTATGATGTTAATTAGCCTCATACGAATCACTTCTGTCCATGCTTAACCTTAGTAATATAGTAAAATTTATTTGTGGAGTGTGAGAGCGAAAAACCCATCAAGCAGCTATCTTTCTTTATTATCCATCCAACAAACTAGACAGGAAAACTCTCTCACGGTTCCTCTGCCCCAGGCAACCACCTATGGTACTCCAAACCAATTAGAAAGAAAAGGGTTATGAAAACTTTTTAGGATGATATATAAATGCACACATTCAAAACCTCAGAAATAAAATCTAAAAATTGTCCAAAGTCAGGCTGGTCGACCCATCGCACCTTCCAATGGACCTCTCCCTACCTAACACCACTTTCCCTAAGGATCGATAAAGAAAGAAAACACCTGAGGTCCCAATATATGCATCCTATACAGTTCCAGAAAAATATGTCTTGCTAAAAATATCTACTATAAAGTAAAACATACAAAAATATTTATCAATATTACAAGTTACATTGTAATAAACCCTCAATGATTTTTCAATCGAAACCCCTCATCATGATGTCTTCATTCAGGTTTCCGTTGTCCATTTCCATCCTCCATTTTCTTAAGTTTGGTTGTTTCAACTCCATTAATCTGGAAGGATCTCTGGACAATCAGCCACCCTCACATTGGTCTCCCAAATATCATCCTAGGAAGAAAAATCAACAGCCAGTATCTTTGTACATACAAAACATCAAAGATATTCATTTTTGTATCATACTTTCACATTATTCCACTACATGATTAACATATACATGATTAATATACATGATTAAAATATTCAATTCCCCCCTTTTATCAATTCACTTCCAGTTCAAAATAATAGTGAGTCAATGTTGAATTCAGATATTCAAAAATGGATATTTCTCTCCAATCTCTATGACCTCCTCACCTTCACTTAGGTCATTACCACTCAGTAGCGGCATCTGAATGTTTTCTCCTGGCATCACAACTCCTACCCATCTCAATATCATAGCCTTAGCAAAGGTCAACAACAGCGTACAAAAACAAAACATCACACACAGTGATAGAAGGGTAGCCACCAAAATCTGAACCACTATAGCTCCTACTGGTCCTAATTGGTCTTGTAACCAGGTATTCGCAGACCATCCCGCTCTTTCTGATGGACCAAATGAATCCCTAATTAGTTTCAAAGCATCTATGACACTAGTCATATTGTCAGTAGCATCAGGAATCAAAGTATAACAGGCTTCTCCAGTTAGATTCAAAGCTACACAGAGGCCACCTTGTTTGGCCAAAATGTAATCAAGAGCCATGTCATGTTTCAGCAACGTCAATCGATGACTCCTCTGAGTATTCGACAAATATTCAAAACCTTTTATGGTCTCGTTTGCAAAACTTTGCAGGGTATATGTAATATTATCAATATGATCAGCTAAGTATGTAACACCATAACATGGAAACAATCCTATTCCCCATTTCTCTCCCAAACTTATCCTCCTATGATAAGACTCCAAGTTGTGAAATTGTGCCAAATCTCTTTTCTTTCTACTGCTAGAGATTGTCGTAGAGTTATCCTCATCAGACCCTTGTCCCTTCTGAATAACAAAAGCATCATACGGAAGTTTCAACTGTGCCATATAACAACATCCAATCCAACCATAAGGTAAAAATAAGTATGCCTTATCGCCACAAATCCACCAGATATCTTTAAATGTTCCTATGGTAAAATTACCCTGTAATATCTTCATACTGATAAAGGAGATTTATATATGATAAGTTCTTCAACCAAGCACAATTCCCTTGAGGTGTAAATAGATGCACCGACACGGCCATCCAATAATCATATGGTGCTTGTTGCTTAAATACCAACCACGATAGCGCATAATTTGACATTTAGAAGTTAAAGGTTCTGGTACCGTCTCTAGAATTGAAGGCCATGTGCCTGGTGCTGGAACTCTCAACACACGGACCACTCAAATTACTAGCCAATCTAACAGAGTGAGTCAACTGTTGGTACCACATATTTCTACTTGCCCACGGGTCTGCAATTTGCAACACCGAGGAATCAAACCCATAAGCTTTCCATTGGGTTTCACGCTTCTCTAATGCATGAAGATGTTTAGTCATGACTTCTGATGTCCCGTCAGCATCTACAAAATCACCAATCAGATTCGACATAGTCATCTGAATTGTTTCAGCTGCCTTAACTAATGTAGATGTAGCAACAGATGTCAACATCATACCTCCAGACTCTGTAGACACCGAAGAACTCATCATTGTTTCGTTGATAGTAGATCCCATCTTTACAACCTCACTTGTAAAATTACTCGCAGCTAGAGTAGTAACCAAAGTTGATACGTTAATACTACTAGTTATTCTCTGAGCTACAGTAGTAGACATCATCTGTTCATCAGTCACCCTTGGAGTGACTAGTTGCTTTTGAACCTCTTTAGCCACCGTAACTACTTCAATAGGATCTAGGCCTTCTACCACAAGCATTATCTTACGAATTCTATACCCTTTTACCCAATAATTGTGATATGGTACAAATTTAAACTCTGGATCCAAATAAGTGCATGTATATTCTCCCTGATCTTCCCCTGTTACATTGATTAGGACAAGTGTACAGTCGTCTACAACCCTAAACAACCTTATGTGATTATACAAAATATACTTTCTTTGATCATGAGGCACACTATTAATTTCAGGTCCTGTTAGCACTATTTCTTCACCACGAGCATTTTTCCCAATTAGGGGAATTATTACCATCATTATTCCATTTTCCACATTTACATGGAAGGCGTGCTGAATTCCCTAACGTAGCTTTAATCACAATGTTTACAGGAAATTGAGTTGTAGAAATCATTGAGGCTCAGCTGTATTTAGACGCAATATCTCTGTGACGTCAGTAACCTTCAGTTTTGAAAAGGTGGATGTCTGCTTTATTTTCTCAATCAGCGGATAGTTGATATGGTAGTTGACAGTTTTCCTACTTCAACAACCAGGGGTTTTGCAATTCTAGTTTCATTTAGTACCACTAAAGTCACAATACTGTTTCTGTAACCTAACCCCGATTGACACTATGCTCTCCCATATTTACTAATTTTGGGTCATAATATGTACACTTATAGTCACCTTGATCTTCAATCTGAGATCTACGTAAATAAAGACTACAGTCTCCCTCAATCTTTGACCTTCTTCGGGTTGGCCTTGGACTCCTTGGTCCAACTGGGTCTGTGAATTTTCCTGTAGAGGCATCACAGCCCTCTGGAGTCTTTGACTCATGCTCCTGAAAAATAGACTCTGTTGTTTCTGGGACATGTTGTAAATCAATGTCACCAAATCGTCTTTCTTGCTCATGGACTGACAAGTCATCCCTGACATCATCA